ATGCTAAAATGCCCAGAGATGTCAGTGCACCAACAGGAAATTCCACATTCAACAGAGATCACCTACCAATTAATTGCACGTGGCAATTCCAGATGCTACACTACTTGGAAAAACTCAAATTTGTTGTTTGCCAAAAAGAGAGGTCCTGAGACTTCTATATAAGCATCATTTGGTGATGGTGGTAATGGTGTGTGGGGGCAGGGGAGGAGATGTCCATTTATTTGTTTTTTTGTTTTGTTTTGTTTTTTATTTATTTCTAGGAGACAGAGAGAGCGTGAGCAGGGGAGGGTCAGAGAGAGAGAGGGAGTCACAGACTGAAACAGGCTCCAGGCTCTGAGCTGGCTGTCAGCACAGAGCCCGACGCGGGGCTCGAACCCACGAACCGCGAGATCATGACCTAAGTGAAAGTCGGACGCTTAACCGACTAAGCCACCAAGGCGCTCCATTTAAAAGTTGGAGTTTTGGGGGAGCACCTGGGTGGCTCAGTCAGTTAAGTGTCCCACTCTGGATTTCAGCTCAGGTCATGATCTCACAGTTTGTGAGTTTGAGCCCCAAGCTGGTCTCTGTGATGACAGCGTGGAGGCTGCTTGGAATTCTCTCTCCCTCTCCCTCTCTCTGCCTCTCTCTCTCTCAAAAATAAATAAGCTTTTAAAAAAAATAATAAATAAAAGTTGGAGTTTTGGGCCCTACTCCACAATTATATCTTGGTGGGGTCCAGAATTTTCATGTTAAAGAGGTTCCCTGATGGATTGTTATAAAGACAAAAGTTTGAGAGTAAATGTTTTTTAAAGGGGAAGAGCATCCCTTTCAGCCTAGATACCTCTTTTAGCTTAGAAGTGCTTACATTGTAAGGGAAGGAAAAGGACTGTTGAACATCTGGAGGAATATCATATCTCATCAGAGCTCTTAGGAAAAGAAAAGGCAAATTAAGACCTGCTTAATCATCAGGTAATTATTTTTTAAGGTTTTAATGTTTATTTTTGAGAAAGCAAGCAAGCAGGGGATAGGCAGAGAGAGGGGGAAGGAGAGATTCCCAAGCAGGCTTCACGCTATCAGTGCAGAGCCCAACTCAGGGCTCAAATTTACCAACCATGAGATCATGACATGAGCCAAAATCAAGAGTCAGGCACTTAACTAATTTAGCCACCCAGGCGCCCCTCCTCAGGTAATTATTAAAGGAAGGACTGTTGGCCCTGTATAGAGGACTGTGGGGAATACAGGTTAATATAGGCTTGGCTTACTTTTGAACATGGCTGATATTTTTTTTTGAGAACTGAACCAGCCTGATTGCCTGTCCCTTGAAACAATTAAGATCAGCCATATTTTGCCAAGTATATGTTAAACAATACTGAGAACAAGCAAAAATAAATACCTACTTGTTCCTGGAAGGAAATACTTTCTCATGGAAGATAGGACTGCCTACCACATAAAATAGGTTATTTATTAAGATTTAATTAAGTCATTAAGACTTAATTTAAGATCTCCTCTTGCTGTCTACTGATGACAGAGAATATATCATAGAATATGCTCAATCCCAACCATTCCTCACCTTGCAAGACCCATCTTAAAAGCCTCTAGCCTGGGCCCTTTTAAGGACCCTTCCCAACCTTTTAAAGGACCCTTCCCAACCGTTCCCTTCCCCATCCTGAAACATCACTAGACTCTGCCATGGTGGCATTTCCCTTATAGCAGTGGTTCTAATATGCATATAGCTTAGTTTAACTCACAGTTCATCCTGAAGATCTAACAGGTCTTAACAGTAAAGATGCCATTATTTCAGTTGATGTGGATTGGCATATTTCAGCCTCTCTGGGGCATTTGTTGTATACAACACATAAAAATTCTGTTTCTAGGCTTCACTATTCCCCTTTCAAGAACCTTAACCTCTTTTATTGCCAACTAAGGCTCTTGACAAACATCCCCACCCATAGTGGCATTTATCAAAGGAGTACCCAGATGAAAAGCTTAAAAGAAAAAGAACCTGATCCGTTGAAGTTTTTGAAAGATTCTCTCCTAATTTATATTTTAGAGATGCTTGTAAACAGTGGTAGCTGAGTTTTACCTTTTATTAACTTTCTTGGTGCAACAGCTGTCTCCCTGATACTCAGGAATTAGAGTATAAGCCCCAAGCTCAGTGAAGAAGCAGGCAGAACAGAAAATAAGAAAAGCAGCAAAAATGTGCAGATTAAGAGCTTGGGCAGATCTAGGTACAAAGGTCAGACCTTTCTGGATCTGTGTTTGATGCCTATGAGAACTTCGGCATCTCAATGTCCCCAATCATCAGTTACTTCCCTTACCTTTAAAATGGGAAATAAAAAAATGTGCAGTGGTGAGGATATAATTATTATTAATTTAAGTTAAAACGCATACTCTTTAAATAGTAAGCTCATATTTTATTTCTACAAACCATATCTGAAAGCTCTCACATGAAAAGCAAACTAAGATATAAATTCAGATTTACATTTGAATCCTAGTTCTTTCTCTTACTAGCCTTATGTCCTTGAGTAATTAATCCCTTTAAGCTTTAGCTTTATCATCTATATTATAATAAGAAACAAGTATTGCCATGGTCTGTTAAGATATTCAGAGGCTTGTCACTAGTACAAGTTTACATTACTTAATTTATCCAGGAATAGACAAGAAAAATATCAAGATTCTGCCTTTGGTGGGGGGATGCCATTTCATGACTGATGAAGCAATAATGAATGGTAAATCTGGGATTTCAAGGAATCATTTTTGAAGGGTAATTGTATCTATAAAACTCTTCAGCTCAAGAGACTCACATAAGATACACTTACTTTTCAACTATCTGTCCATTTAGTAACTGAAGCATCTCAGACACTGTAGTATTAGAAAGGAATTACTACAAGTTCACTGAGACCATTTGGGATGCTTTTATTCAAGAGAAACAAGGCAGGAAGAGGTGTCTGGAAGCACAGTAGGCATCCTGGGACTGGAGTGTGGAAATAAAATTGAGTATGATGGAAAACTGAAGGGAAACGGTACATGGAATATACACTTCAGGCAGGTGGAGCAGACAGACAAGTGGTCCTGTTAAAAACTGCAAAATGAACTTAGAGGCATGATCCAGTAGCAGTGTGAGGATTCAGCCATTTAGATGTATGATCCAAATTCGCATCTGACTACAAGTCCTTGCTTTTAAACACTACACTGCTGTCTCTTTCAAAGGTATCTTATAGATAGCCAAACTAAAATGATGCCCCTCCTGAGGGCTTGTTTTAGCTTTACTCCTTTGTTTTCCCATAGTATCCAGTTTCTTCTGTTAGAATAACTTCAATCACTGTCTATGGTAATTGCTGCCTTAACTTGCTCCCACTAAACTATACAGGCTTCTTGAAGCCAACGATGATCTCTTGTTTTCTGTAATCTCACCAGTGGCTGGTTTACTGTCAATACTCAGTGTCTGTTGAATGTGGGGGTATGTGGAAAAATGGATGGACCCATTGGTTGATGGATCTATAAATGATAAAAGCAGGGGCTCCTGGGTGTCACAGTCAATTAATTAAGTGTCCAACTCTTCGTTTCGGCTCAGGTCATGATCTCACAGGCATGTAATCAAGCCCCACACCAGGTTCCATGAATGTGGAGCATGACTAGGATTCTCTGTCTCTCTCCCTCTCCGCCTCTCCCCACCACCCCCCCCCGCTCGAAAAAAGTAAATTTAAAAAAATGATGAAAGCAGTGAGTGAAGGCGCTGCATACCCATTTACCCAAGAAGAGTCTAAGATAATCAAAGTAAAGGTAAATAATGACCACCAGAGTGCTTGCTGTCTGTCAATTTAGATGCCAGTTATTGATCTAACTGGAATAAATAATCTAAAATACAATGGTAAATTTAGTCTGAACCTCCCATATCTCCACTGAAGGAAGAAGGAGATGACATGATAGTTCCTCCTCGATCCTCTGTGTTGTCTCTAGAACCCACACTCCCTGCAACTATGGCTCTCCTGCTGTTTGCATGCACATGCATGGTTTGAGTACTTGGAGGTCCAGCCCAAACAAAATGGCTTCTAATTCATCTCCTTCCTCGTGGATTAGCCACAGGCAAGGAAGAACCTTGCTCCTCCGCTACCCTTTTCACTGTTCTCTATACCATCCTAATGGGCAACAAGGCAAGTTATGAAACCCTGTCCATTACATGACCCTACTGGCATTGAAAGGGAAACTTTCATATATGTATGTAAGAGAAATGCCAGATTGATAATGGTGGATATCTGGAATGGATGAATAATGGAGAACTTCTAAGCTTTCTAGATCTACTTTTGTTTTTTTCCCCCTATATCTAAACTGTATTTCTGATGAAATAACAACTTAAAACCTAAGATAGCAATACTGAACCCGCAGCAATAAGTGTGACTACTATTGCTTTACCACTCAGTACATACATACTGCCAATTCACCCAGTGTTCCTTGAGGTCAGATCATATCATGCCCTAAAGTGTCAGTTCCTTAGCACTGAGCACAGGGCTCTGCAGATCAGAGATAAGATACTAAATGAATGAATTCTCCATTTCTGTTTGTAATTTGAACTCTTACACTTATAAGTTGAGGATGATGAATATTTTAGTCCTCATTTAAAATGTGGACAAAATTGGAAGGATATTTGTACACTTTGGGACTGTCAGACTTTGGAATAATGTTGGATTGAGGTCAGAAAGAAGAGGGAAGTAAATGCTGACTCGGTTATGCAAATATGGTCATTGATTCTGACTGGCTTTTAATGGCAAACCATCTTCATTTTTCTTCTCCATTCTTCTTAAACATTTTTTTCCCATCGCAAAGCAGGTATGTCCTTATGGTACCTTTCACTGGAAGCCTTTGTCTTTGTACACAGTCTGACTGACAGTCCAGGGAGGGACAGAGAGGCCAATGTTCAATTTATCCCATCTCTTCTGAGACAGGTAAATTGTGCATAACTAGAGCAAGCCTGACACTGTCTCACTTCGAGCACATTTCATTAGGGCTGTCATTTTTCCTAGGCTTCCAGCAGACCTGGAGAAGAACTGACCTCCTACCTCAGGCAAGGTCAACTTTAATAATAAACATGAAAGATGGGCACAGCACAGGAAGAGCACCAGTGAGCTGGCCCTTGGTTTATGCCCCACAGACTAAAGCTTATGTGCGTATCTTCCAAGTGCAATCAACTGAGAGGCTCCTCACACAACGTCGAAAGAAACCTCCAGGAAAACAGGGTGTAAAGAGTTAACAGAGGAAGCTTTGCAATCAGATGAACTTGAATTCAATGCCTGGCTCTACTGGACCTCTGCAGTCAATGTCTCTCAGCCTCACTTCCCTCATCTGTAAGGTGGGAATAATATTAACCCCTGTTCCATAGATTCCCTAAGAGGTTTTAGAAAGATGGGGCACCTGGGTGCCTCAGTTGGTTAAGTACCCAACTCTTGATTTTGGCTCAGGTCATGATCTCCCAGTTGTGAGATCGAGCCCTGTGACTGGCTCTGTGCTGACAGTGCAGAGCCTGCTTAGGATTCTCTCTGTTCCTCTCTCTGTCCTTCCCCTGCTTGTTCTTTCTGCGTCTCTCTCAAAATAAATCAATAAACTTTTTAAAAAAATGATGTATATAGGTTGCACTTAGCACAGTGCTTGGCATATTGTAGGCACTTAAAAAATGTTCTCATTGTCATGAACAGTTGTAGCATAGCAATCTGGAATAATTGGAAAAGCCAAACGCTGCAATTGGTATCAGTCTCTGCCACTAATTATATCATTGTGGACAGTTGTGTAATTTCTGGTTCTCAGCTTCTTCATTGGTGAAGTAAATAAAGTGGACTGGGTGTAGGGTTACAAACAGGCAGCCCACAGATAAATTTCATTTGGCCCCTTGACGGGAGTTTATTTTATTTTATTTTTGTTTTTAAATTTATTTCTAGGAGAGAGAGAAACAGCGTGAGCAGGGGAGGGTCAGAGAAAGAGGGAGACACAGACTCTGAAACAGGCTCCAGGCTCTGAGCTGGCAGTCAGCACAGAGCCCGACGCGGGGCTCGAACCCACGAACTGCGAGATCATGACCTAAGCGAAAGTCGGACGCTTAACCGACAAAGCCACCCAGGCGCCCCAACGGGAGTTTAAAAAGTTGGAGAAATTTCTCTAAGATACATAGATGTCTGGTTTCTAACGAAAATCAGGGCAGCATTTCCAAATGGCTACAACAGTGCAACAGAATGATTTTAGGCAAATTATCCAGTCTCTGGTTTATCAAAGTCCCCACCAGACCCTCTGTTCTTACCCAGGGACCACTAATGAATTTGCTTTAATTTCTTCATCGCCGTAATGATTTACGTTTGCAACACATGGATTAGACCAGTGGTTCCTAACATTAGCATTGCCTAGGAAGTGTTTACAAATTATAGTGAAGCTTCCGCTCATACCAATTAAATCAGAGTCTAAGTGTCCATAGGGTCTGGACATCTATGTATTTTTAAAAACTCTTGAAGTATATGAAATCCACAACCTGGGTCAAGAACTGTTAGACAAAGTGTTGTCTAGATTCAAGTCATTATGACAGTGCCATGATTCCAAAATCATTGACTTTTACATGACTCCAGCCTACATGTGTAGATAGCTACTACATAAAAATTATGTCCACAATACAACTAGTATATATTAAAACACAGTGAAACACAGCACATAAGAACCTAAAGTACTTATTTATATGCCTTCTTTTTAATAGCCGTGAGAGAATTTAGAGATAAATTTCGTTCTGCTTATTCCAAAAATATCATTGTAAGAGCAAAAATATACATAGTCTTTGTCACTTTTATGTTCTCTTTTTGCATCTTATTAGTTACTAGTTCCTAAATCATGCTTAGAAACCTTTTCTAGATTTAATATTTGGACATTCTATGTAATTACTATAGGCAGGAAGAAAGAGTGTGCTGTTACTCACATGTTCCATGCTATATTAATATCACAGTCACATTAAAAATAACCATTAATTCCTTTAGAGATTGAATTTCCCAGTTTCAAAATATTTTCTTTACCTTTACTTTCCCCTTTCAGCCCCTATGAATATTCAGGATGAACAGAAGTTAAGTACATTTTCTCATCAATTTACAACTTTGGGAAAGCTCATTTTAGTGCTCTCAAGCTTTTCATTTTAAAAGATTAAAATATGTTTCTTTTAATTAATTCACCTATTGCCAAATTTTATATTTCTGTCAACTGTGCTTCCTAGACAGTGTGGGGTAACAAACAGAAAAGTAAAATTACAATTGATATCAAACAGTGGTTCTCAATCAGGGGAGATTTTGCTGCCTGGGGCACATTTGACAATAACTGGAGATATTTCTGGTTGTCACCACTGGGGCTGTTGGTGTTACTGGCTGGCATCCAGTGCGTAAGAAGAACATTATGCTGCTACATGTCTTACAAGGCACAGGACAGTTCCAATAATGGAATTATCTGGCCTCAAATGACAACAGCACCTAGGCTGAAAAACCCAATATATATATATACTTTTTCTTTCTTTCTTTCTTTCTTTCTTTCTTTCTTTCTTTCTTTCTTTCTTTCTTTCTTTCTTTCTTTTTCTTTCTTTCTTTTTCTTTCTTTCTTTCTTTCTTTTTTACTTTGCTCCACATAATTAAGTTGTGGGTTTTCAACCTCTCACCATGGAAAAATCATTAAGAAAGTGCTTTCAATTTTAAAAATGTGGATGATTATTTTTCCCTCCTTCAAAGTACTTTGTGTTCTGAAATGAAGGGTTACATGCACATTTTGGCCAATTAGTCTGTGGCTTACTTATGAACAGGAAGAAGACAAGGTGTGGCAGAGGCTCAGGAAAGAAGACAGCCAAGAAAGTGTTTTTCATCATAGTCATGCCACTTCTATGCTTTACATCTCTGAAAACATAGGAAACTCTTGTGGGAAAGCCAGCCATCTCTTGAGGAAATAAGAACTTGCCAGTATTCATTGATTGACATAATTACAAAGTGGCGCTGGCAAGCTCTGCATTTACTGTTCAATGTGCATTGTGGACAAAGGATGGACAGTTATAAATGGTAGATGACACATCACCAATTTCCAAGACTCATAGTCTCGGGTTTTTAAGATGGTTCTCAGTTGGTATGCATGTTACTTAGAGTGGGAGTCCTACTGACCAAAGTTACACAGGATTCATGGCTGTTAAAACAACAACAACAACAACAACAACAACCAAAAAAAAAAAAGAAAAAAAAAAAAGACCACCCTTTGAAATAGAACCCTTTGTCTTTGGTCAGAACTTTGCTTTATTTAGCAAAGCATTCTCCTGGTCTCTGAGCTCCACCTGGCTATTTCAGAGTTTCATTGGCACACCAGGAGAAGAATCTAGACATCGGAGATTGTGTGTTCCAGCTCAAAGCTAAAAGAAAAGCAAAAGCAAGACACACGATGGGGTCCAAACCAAATCCAAAACACCTCTGGGCTCTGACTCCCGGACCACTTGCTTGAAACCAATGGACAAATAAATTCTAAAGTTTCTTTCAGTTTAAAAGCTCTTTGGTTGCTTTTTTAGTAAGAAAACTCATTGCTCCTTGACATGTTCTTAACATACAGTCATTTCCCCCACTCAGAGTTCTTTTTATTTTAATGTTTTATTTATCTCTGAAAGAGAGAGAGAGAGAGAGACAGCATGAACAGAGGAGGGTCAGAGAGAGAGGGAGACACAGAACATGAAACAGGCTCTAGGCTCTGAGCTGGTAGTCAGCACAGAGCCTGACGCGGGGCTCAAACCCATGAACCGTGAGATCATGACTGAGCCACCCCCCACTCAGAGTTCTCTACTGCTCTGCAAATTAAGCCCAAGCTGCAAAACATGCAGAACTCTAAAATTTGGCTCAAACCACCCCTTTCTCCTGATTTCTCAGCGTCCTCTGATGGAAGTTCTAGATTTCAGCCCCATTAAATTGCTTCATATTGCCTAATGCCTTGTACTTGCCAGGCCTGCATCTTTGTCCAGTTGCTATCGGCAACCATAATGTTCTCTCCTACCCTGTCTTGTCCCAAGCCAGGCATCCTCCTCTCTCAAATGCCTTCTTTTTCATTTTTCCCTGATTTCTCCCAGAGCAGATGTTTATCCACAGCATTTGAATACAGCGCCGCCACCATCTACCTGATGAAGTGAAGCGGCTAAGCATTCAGGCCCGGGTATCAGTTCCACCATGCACTAGCACTTAGCACTGGGCAATGGGTTTAACCTGCTCAAAGGTCAGCTTCCACACCTTTCCAAAGAATCTGTCACCTACATGCCAGTGCCTCTTTGTCCATGGAAGTGGATCATTTAAGCTCCACATCAAGTAGGTCACCAACTGGTTTCTACAAGAACTAGGGTGACGCCATGCATTTTAGAAGTTTATACTTTTTATGGAACAGTAAAAGTTTATACTTCTATTGAATTTGTATGTGTGTTTTCTTTAAACTTTTTCCTCCTCCCCTCTCTGCCCTCCGCCCAGCACCGCCTTGCTGAAGCTGCTTCTCCGTCCTCCTACAGCTCTTCTCACCCACTCACTCAAGTCTTCAACTCTCCACTCCAGTTTCTTCTCTCTTCCTCTCTGCCCACATTTTATATGGCTCAGCCACCATTATGCAGAGAAGCTTCCTGCTCTGTGATTCTGGCATCCATCCAAGCCATTCTGGATTCCCATTTCTATGAGACAAGGGATTCTTTGGCTTCTTAGAAAGTAATAGAGAAATTAGTTTTTTGTATCAGTGATAGTACCCACCTTGTGGTGTTATCGAAAAGAAATGTGATATCTAGAATATAATGTCATAGACATGTGACACCTAAAATATGATACATAATATATTCATTTGGATTATTAATTAGGTAAATTAGCAATATAAGGCAGAAGGTAGATCTCAACTTCAATATTTTCATGGAATGTCCATTAGAAAAAAAAGGTTATCATAAAGAGATGCGATACCTAGCACTGAGTTACATGTTGAAGTCTTAGGCTACTGTGATCATAGTCCATTTAGTTTTGTCTGTTTCCCTCATGAGACTGTGGACACATTCTGAGGAAAGTTCCAAATTTAATTGTCTTCCAATAAATAACACAGCTGTTCTGGTCTCCACCTTGGTTCCACACTAGAGAGCTTGAGAAAATGTTTAGGTCCTACTCCAGATCGAGGACATTAAAATGCCTCATGTGGGTCCCGGGTGTCAATGTTTTCCAGGTGATTTTAATGTGCAGCCAGGCTTGCAGCCCCTGATAAGAATACCTTTCATGTGCGGCCATAGCAATTGCCAATGGGGATCACACTCCTTTATTAGGGCAGGTGTTAGGCTAAGCGCTTTCCTCGTGACCTCCCTTATTGGAAGAGTCTTTAAAGACCCTCAGGTGATTCCATTGCTCAGCCAAGTTTGAGAACTGGTGTTGGGTCCCTCACTAGTTTGAGATGCTCCTCTACCTCCTCGCGAGATGGGTTTGCTGTTAGCACATTTTACAGAGGAGAAACTAAGTTTAGGGCAGGTTAAGCATGTGCTCCAGTCCCTCAGCCAGCAAGTCCATGGTCACAATGGGATTCCAGCTTGACTTGGGAGCCCTCACCTGTTTGTCCACAGTCCCTCCTGACTTCTTCAGAAGGAAGCATATAAGTGTTACTGAACTGTGTTCTTACTCCACTGGAGCCGTGACCGGGTAGGAGAGTCATTCTTGTGATGCTTTGTAGTTAAAGAGAATTAAACACCCAAATATATTTTTAGTATGAAAAAATTTTAACATTCTGCCAAAAAGGGGGCAATGACTTCAAATCCACATGTGCAAATAAGAATATTCCCACGTCCTTGTATACTTTCATGTATTTGATAATAGTGACCCATGTATATTTTTTTCTAACTTTAAATGAGGCAGGGTGGACTAATATGTCTTTTTTAACTCAAAAGGATTTGCAGTTTGGGCTTAACTATGCATGTGAATAAAATTTTAGTTATTTAAGAGATTTAGTTTAATCTCAAATGACTTTAATGTCAGAAAATGAAAAACAATAAAAGCCAACATTTTCTTTAAACTTTTGACAGAAAAAAAACCCCTAGCTAGAAGAAAAAATAGTATTCGGGTCCTAATGTTGCTAATATGTAAGATCGGTTTTTATCAGATAAACATATTTTCTGTTCGCCCATTTATAAAGCCATGCAGTTGGGTCAGGCTTTTGTCTCTGCTTCTTTTTCCTCCTCTCCTTCCCTTGTTTGCCTTTGTATCCCCCATTCCATCGAAACCCCACATCCAAACACCCAGATGCCTGGTTCTAGAACTGCGTGTCTCAGAACCAGCTGGCAAGCCTGTTGAAACAGATTCCTGAACCCTATCCCCAGTATTTGATTCCCAAGGCTGGGGTGGTGCATTTCTTTTTTTGTTTTTTAATTTTTTAAATGTTTTATGTATTTTTGAGAGAGAGAGAGAGAGACAGCTTGAGCAGCGGAGGGTCAGAGAAAGAGAGAGACACAGAATCCGAAGACAGGCTCCAGGCTCTGAGCTGTCAGCACAGAGCCCTACGCGGGGCTTGAACCCACGAACTATGAGATCATGACCTGAGCCAAAGTCGGACACTCAACCGACTGAGCCATCCAGGTGCCCCTGGGGTGGTGCATTTCTAAAAAGACCCCAGGTACTGCTGCTGATCCAGGAAGAGAACTTGGAAAACCACTGATTTAGGTGATCAATCTATTAAGAGCTGAGTTTGTGCCTTTTCTGAAATTCAAAAGTTAGGGGCATGGGAGTAAAGAATAAATATTTTTTAATGTCTTACTTAAAGGAGTGTTGTTGGCTAGCATCCACAGAAAATAATATACTAACAAGAAGACAAATACTTCCTGAGCCTTCCTAGATTCTGAGCAAGGGTCACTACATCAAAAGCCATTTAATTAATGTTAACAGATGAAGCTAGTTTTTGTGAAAATTGCAGCAGCCCTTGATTACCTGCAGGTGGCAGAATGTTCTAGCATAAAAGTTACCGTCCATGTTTGTCTTGTGAAATGATTGACACCATTCAGAAGGAATAATCAAAATGAGTTTGTGTGTCAAAGAAAAATAGAGGGAAACATTTAAAATTATAATGGGCACAACATTCAGCACAGCAAAAGGAAAGTTATTAGCAATTTGGATGATTTATTTGGCAGGTCATGAAAAAGCAACAACATTTAATCATAATTATTATAAATGAGTATCGAATGCTAACTATATTACAGGCTATGTGTTAATTGCTTTATGTGGATTCTGTCTCTTAATCCTCAGTGCAAGCCTATAATGTGAATTAATATCAGTGTTAAGGTCAAGAAGAAATTGAAGTTTCAAAATTACACCTTTCCTCCAAACTCTGTTTATGCTTTGACTTGTTCCATGAAGCTTGACTCACTGTCTGCATAGATGATGCAAACTCTCACTCCCCTTTTTCTTCCTCTCCCCCTCCCTTATAGCTGTTTCAGTCTTCATTGGATTACTAGTGTTTACTCATATTCCTCATAAATTTGAAATGAAATAACATACATGAAAGTTTTTTAATGCCTCTATTACAAACATATGCTGTGCAGTGAGTTGAAAGCCAGCCCCCTAAAATATGTGTTCATGTCCTAATATCCAGACCTGTGAATATGACCTTACTGGAAAAAACAATATTTGCAGATATAATTAAAGTAAGATTTCAAGATGAGATCATTCTAGGCTACACCAGCAGGCTCTAACTTGAGTGGCAAATGTCCTTACTTCGATACACAGAGAGGCGTTTAATACCGAGGCAGAGGTTGGAATGATGGGGCCAGAAGTATCAAGGAGAGGTTGAGTCACCTCCCCAGGTCATACAAGTAGTAGAGAGCAGTGCAGATTCTGCAGCTCACACTACCTGACTCCAAACTGCAATCTGTCCACCTTTAAATACCTCTCAGTATGTTACAGCACAAGGCAGGTGAAAAACAGACATGCCTCCTGTGTTTCATGCCTGGCTTCACACTTTTTTGATGAAGGAAGATTTAATTCAGAAGGAATTTTTCCTTAGCATCACTGTCTTAATGACAGTGTACTAAAACTATGGTATCACTAGATGAATAGAAAGACAATTTGTTGTAGTTCCGTTAGGAAAAGCAGATTCTGCTCCGACATCCCCCCCCCCGCCCCCCCGGAGGTAGGAGGAAAAATCAGAATCTCTGTGGAGTGTGGTGCCTTG